TATCGTGTCAGTTCTCAACTATTTAACTTTAAAACTGTTTCGAATCAACATGTTGTCGGTGATTACCGTTATTGTGGCAACTAATCAATCGTAGCAAAACTTGTCAGTAGACAGTTTTCGTTGTGACCGTTTGTGATGAATCAGCTGTGTCAGAATTGCGTTTGATTTCGAAGAGTTAGTCGTCGAAAATCATTTCATCAGCGTGGTTAGTCAGTCTGAGACCTTAGCAAAGTGTCGACCCCTGTTCTCGGTTTTTAGTCCCTCCCCCTTATCGTTCGGTCGTGAAATATGGTCGTTTGGGTGATAGTAGTTCAGCATGAGAATGACAGTTCTGATGAACAGTGGCAGACGTTTCACAGTCTGAGAAAAAATCGTCGTCAGCCCCCGGTGAAAAGTCGTTCATCAGTGAAACGTTTCATTTTGATAGGTTAGTTTGTAGTGACTCTTATCTATCCTGTTTTAGTATGCAAGTCACTGGTCGTTCTTTTTTTTTTCTTTGTTACTAATATAATTTCCGTGAAAAAAAGATCCTCATTGTTGGAGAAAACGTGATTGTCTTTTCTATGAAGTCTGCATAAGCAGCAGAGAGTTCTTAAAAGAAACTTATTGTAGGGTGTTGTTGCTACAGTGCCACCTTAAAATATTCAGTTGGGACATAATCCCATCACTCACTTATCAATGCATCTACCACTCACCTTGAAAAAATAGTGGCTTAAATAGGTAGCGCAATTTAGGAATTTTATTTGAACGCATTTGCAGTTTCGAGTCACCATGATGAATTTTAAAATCCCGTTGTGAATTCCACCGTTCCGTTTTCTTTGATTTTTGATTAAAATACCAGTTGTCAATAGGTGACAAATTTTAAATTATTCCCAAATGCCCTTCTTACAAAAATACAGCGATAGCAGAATTGATTAAGCCACAATTTTTCAAGGGAGTGTGTATAATGAACAAGTCTTATCTCTGTCTTGTCTTGCAATTTATATTTCTGATAGATTCCCCATCAATGTCTTCGTCTTTAAATCCAAGTCATCTCATTCCTTCAGCTCTTCTTCTAAAAATAAGACGAATAAATGACAAATTTAGCCAATAAATAAGAAAAGTCTCATAATTTAAAGAAAATTAAACTTAAAGATTAAACCTGAAGACAGGATTTTTGCAACAAACCAAGAATAGGTTAAACTTCACCAATTTAAAGTTTTAATGTCAAAAAGAGCGATAAGGTCATCGACTTAATTCATTTGAATGAGGCGTGCTTGGCCGAAAATTTGATACTTCGATAATTTTGTTTACGAAACAGCTCTTACAGCTTTAGGAAATTTGTAGAGCTGTTACGCTCTTGCATTTTTAACAGTTGTATTGGAAAGAATTCTGAATTGAATCGTTAAAGTAAGGGAATGCAAAAGCTCGTTCAACGCGTGCATGTGGTCGCGTAAAGATTTATGTGAACTGTTTTGGCCGACTGAAAAGCTTGTGTGCAAAACAGAATTGTTCAATGACAAAGTTTGGTACTCTATGTTTGCGTTCTTTAAGTCCTTCTTAAATTTTAAGGTTTCGAAGAAATGTTTAGAGGAAACCATATCTTACTCGCTGTAATTGACCATTGCTTCGACAACGAACGGTTCTCAACTTCATGATAGAAATTTTAGAATTTGCTAGAAGCTAATAAAGATTTAAAGGTGCTCACCTTTGCGTTGACGTGAAGGTAAAGTCTGAGGGCATGCACATTTCGTCTCCTTCCAGAGCCCCGAATTTATCTTGAGATAGAAAAACCAAATAGACATCCTCATACTTTGGCGTTTTTACTCAAAATGATGCCATTCCATCAAATTCATGAATATTGATTCTAAGCAAAGTGACCAATAACAAGACAATACGTCAGAAGCCAACATGTGAAATATGCAAATGATTGTCTTTCCTAGAACCCGCCCTGCTGACAAAATTAGAAAAATTGGAAGTTTGAATAAAATCAGATTAAAGCATAACACTGGAAAGCCGTTTCTTTTTTATGATTCACCCGCATTATATGCTGGTACATTAATACGGAAAATATTTCAAGATGTCGTGCGGTTGTTTTGGCATGAAAAACGGTAGCAGATGGCGTGCAGCAGTTGGGAGTCGGTGCTTTGTTAGCGTTAACGGCGATGAGGGTAGAAGGTAGTTTATCTGTTTGCCTTTCAGCCGTCTATCTAATAATATGTGAACACATCTGCGCTTTTGTAATGAAAGATAAGATATTTGACTGAATAAAGCCTATATTTTGATTCAATGATGACAATATAAATGATGACGCTGCGCACGGTTTTTTCCTCCATAGTCTTTCCGGGGATTTCCGAATTCCCCCAAGGTGAAAAAAGAAATCCTTCATAATAGGGAAAAAGGCAAATAGGGACGGAGGAACATCTGAGAAACTCAACTAGGCACAAGAGAATTACTTAGGGAGGGAGGAGACGCCTTCAGTCACAAGACGCGCGGGGAGCGTGAACGCTAGGAGGTCTGGAGATGGCCCAAAAGTGATTAATGCTGAAGAATGCTTTTGTAAAGAAATTAATGCTTAAATGCTAAGTATGACCAGAATCTGCTTTCTCCTTACAGTAACACTGCTGAAACGTTCATGAGGATCATGAGAATAGAAGAAATTATGGCCAGCTCAAGAAGATCTTAATTGTTCGACAAATTCTCCGTGTAAGTACTGGGTATGAGAGAACAGTAGGGAGAACTTACATGCCGATGTTGGGGTGTAAAGGGCTACGTTTGAGGTTGAATAAGGTATGCAGTGAAGATATTTCATAAAAAATAATCCTTAGAAAGGTATTAGAACGTAGTAAAAGAAACGGAAGGGGGAAGATAGCGAGAAGACACTTGGGAAATAACTTAAATACATAAATTAGAAAAACAAATAGAAACTTCCATCGCCGATATCACTTAAGGCTTTTAACCTCAAGAAATTATAAACATCTAACTTCTAACAATTTCAATTAAATATTCGGCAAAAAATGACGAAAATAGCCGAACTTATCTCCGAGGTGATGTTAATCTTGATGTAATGCCAAATTCTCTTATCGAGTTTTCAAAGAAATTTAAAGTAACCATAAGGGAGAATTAATAGTCAGATCTTGGAGCCAACATAAACCGTGCTGTGAAGGCGCTTAAATAAGCTACGCAAAATAGTTATAATTCGGACAAATTCACAAGGAGTGCGTAAGAAATGATTTAAAGAAACGCGTAACGAACGCATCAGGTAACGACAAACTAAATGACACCAAGAATTAAGTGTTCATGAAGGAGCGTATTCTAATTATATAAGGAAATGGTCCGAAAATTCATTAGCTGAGGTGTCAGGAAAAGTGGATTCATTTGGAACATCTGAGGAGAGTTAATCAAAGTGCATCAAAATTACAGCAGGGAACGCGTCGGAAATAAGTCGATTGGGGAACGTGATGATTAATATGAAGATGAACTGAAAAAACACTTGGAAAAATTTGACTAATTGCTAAGTCAATTCATCAAGAGCAAAACATCCAAAGGAAAACGGATCGGATAATATTTAGTGAAATGTGGAAGGCTTGAGATGTAACTTAAATGCGTCAGTTGGAAATGCAAAAGGAACACGTGCGGAGTAATGAAGCTACCGCTGTTCCAGTGCATATGGAGTCTCCTTCACAGCGGTTCTTTGGGATGTCACGTGCACTTCTTGAGGGAGCGTTGCGTGACATCGTGACATTTCGACTACAAAGTAGAATTGCGCATATGGAACTTTTGGGTTACCCTTTATGGCAGGGAGCTAGGCTTTGGCAAACTCCATTCAGTCTATTCAGCTCTGATGATAAATTAAGATGTCAACTGAAAATTTTGAAGTAAATTGTTTAATTCTATTCATCTCTATTTCCACGTGTAGGTGATAAGGTTGCAAACTAAATCTACTTCTGCAGCAAATCTACTCAATTTGTCCACAAATAAGAAAGACTTATAAATTATTGTAAAGTAGTGTGCTAAAGTGTACATGCATATCAAGCTACAGGCCTCTGCGATTTCAGAAATTTTCACATGAAAGAGAATTCTGAGCTTATAACACTGTCAACAGAGTAAACCAAGACCTCCTTCAGAAAACTAATAATTTATAAACAACGTCTTGAGTCAGAGAAAAATATTTTACATCAAAGCTCAGTTCTATAAACATTGTAGTTGGACGATATACAAATCTATAAGCATATTTTTCTGGTCTCATTTTGTTCAAGTAATAAATAAGAAATTAGCATGTTCAGAAGTGCTATGAGGCTGTTCCTTGTTTACTATCTCTTCATATCGGTGTGAATGCTATGATGTGTCCTTCAGGTATGTTTCTAACAGTTGATTTGTAAGCTGCGAAAAAAAAAAACAGAAAAAGATTTAATATTGAACAAGATTTTGGAATTCTTAGCTGTGATGTCATTCAGTTTTGCCCATCTCTACAACTTATTTGAACCACCACTTACGTTGGCGAACTTGTCTGTAAGTTCCATCGTTAATTCATCTTCGGTCATACCGCGAGGTACAAGTGAACTCAAAGACGAAGACGGGTTTACATTGAGGTAGTTCTCAATCCTTTCTTTAGGCAAGTAGTCCTGTCTGGCTCTCATCTGAAACGGTTTTGCAGAAAACGAAAAAAAAATGGCTAGAAATTCATTGGTATAGGAAAGTACTTCCCAATAAGGAGGGGGTTTCCTACTGTAACGTCTTAGCAGGAGTAGGCCAGGTTGCTTTGTATTAAATCTAAATTTTCTTAACAAAGCTACAGCTATTTTGACGCCTCAGCATGCAAGAAAATGGAAGTGGATGGAAAAGCTAATATTTCTGCGTTTTAAGTTCTCCCTCTCGGGGTTAGTATGGAAGATCTCACCAAGGGAAAAGGTATGGGTAGGGTGGGAGGGGAAAGAAGGTTTCAAAGTTCCTGCTTCTAAAATATTGTGGCCATGATACCTTTTATAATTCGTTAACTTTCAAACCAGAAACAGTCACAAACTGACGGTGTAAGAAGAATTATTTATACCTTCGGCGCAGGAAGTTCTTCTGCTCTTCTGGCGTCTGATAATCGAACATAAACTGAACTACCTTCCAAAAGCTTAATCTTGGAGAACAAAAAACAAGAAACGTTAAGCAATTGTAAGTCACATTTTCATCGCATGAGAAAATAAATAAAAGAAAGCGTTACAGAAGAGCGTTCGCCCATGCTTTTTAAAGATCTCTGTTGTGATCGACATGAAACTCCTGATGACAATTATAAAAGAATTTCCGTAGACAAATTATGGGAATGGGGAAACTTATCAGCTGCAGGGTGTTATCTTGATGCAACAACAAATTCTCTCCACAAATTAACCAGAAAATGAACAGCAGCCAGGAAGGAGAATTGCCAATCTTACCGCCTTTCTTCTCCGAAAGTTGGCAAGCACATTGTGACAGTTATCGCTTTCAAGAGAATTAAGCACAGCCTGCAAGAGAATAAAAAGAAATAAGTCCAAACGAAATATAAAAAAGTTAATAACTTAGAAAATAAAGATCTCATGTTTTATTACAAATTTTTAGAACTAGAATTAATTCTATTCAACCAGGAGAGGATTTTTAAACTAAACGTTTGACAACAGCGATGACAGTCTTCGACTAAATGTTCGAGACAATCTTATTTGTTTCCTTGAAAAACAGCAATTTCATGTAATCCCCTTCTCCTTCCCATCACAGTGTAACCGATTTTCAGAGTTCCCACAGTTTTCTAAATATTTTTGCCAAAGATTGTTGGTTTCCATCGAAACATTCTTGTTATTTCGATAGAAGCATCCACGTTTGCTTATATAGCGGTGTACAGATGGACCCAGCGAGGCTGGTGAGGATAAACGAAAAAATCCAGACAATGAAGGTTCGACTTAAGTTTGTCATAAACAGCCTACCATTGGCTATCATGCAACATACTTTGTACCTTAAATAAGCCAGACACAATCATACTGTTCTAATTATATGTTCTAAGAGTACCTCAGGGAGGTCCCCAGTGTACAGAGGAAGCTGATAACAACCGTTCATAACATAACCTTCATCAAACACTTGAACAGCGGTCCACGCCTAAAAGAATCAAAATGTTAAACAAACACAAAACAACAACATGAAAATTTAGCTCTAAAATATATAACGAGTTGACGATTCTAGAATTCCTCATATTTCATTACTTCTATCGGTATTAAAACTTTGTGCTTCTTTCACAGACAAAACTCTTCTAACTAGTAACACAACAAGATAAGATCCGTAATCCAGCAATGAACCCTTTCACTCCCAAGAGTAAGCAAAAGAGAACTTATTTCAATAAGAAGGCCACGAGGAGAAAGAAAGATGTCAACTTCAGGGTACCACTTAAAACCAAATTCTCGAAACTAAAAATAAAAGAAACGTAAGGCAGACTGTATGGAGAATTGATTTTTAGATCTAAGGAGAGGATAAGATATATGTGTAAATCAAGTAACCTTTCAAAAGTTTAATCATTTAAAACTATAGGTTTTCAAAAATGCAGTTACGTAGATGCCTTAAATGATTAACCCTTTAACTCCCAAGATCTTATTAGTAATTCTTCTTACTATTTGCCATTCAATTCTTGTGATGTCAGTTTAGAGAATTTGGGATTGGATCAACTAATAATTCCCTAATTGATATTTTTCTTTATTCTCATGACCTGTCTGCTTGATATTGTATCGATATTGTCAGAAATTCTGTTTTGGTCACTCACGGGAGTTAAAGGGTTAAATTAATAGAGAATCTGAAGGAGTCTGATACTACGAACCTGTCCTTGTAAACTGTAAGATGTTTTGGTCTGAGTAGTGTCCAATACTAACTCATGAAGATGGACGATAACAACCATGCACCTGTGATAAATACGACGGGGAAAAACCTGCCAAACAAGCCAACAATATCAAACAGTTAGGTGCAGAGTGGTGTTGAAGTATGGAGAAAGTTCACTTGAGGGCAAAATGACCTGCAGAAAATTTCCCTTTTCTTACGTTTTTTCAAGCTAACAGAAACACGCGCACGGCGAGAACGAGGACAGCGCGAGGAGCGAGTTACATACGAAAGGATATGCGGAAAAAAAAAATGCTTGTTCTGCAGGCCAGCAACAAAGCGAAAACCAAAGTTTTTGTCATAGCAAGTAACATAACCTCGCCCTAACAAATGTGATATTCACATCTTTATCATGGTAACGCATGTGGCAGTAAAACAAAAAGTGATATTCCTCAATTCGCACAGAAATAAGCCAAATGCTTCCCTAACCTTCAATCCATCTTTCCACACAGGAGAGGCAACACTACTGGAGTACACTGGTTTTGTTACGTGGTTCAGCGAGTCCTCTCTGGCACCCTTAAAAAAGCAATTACGAACAAAGGAATAAGTGAGCAAAGAAGAAAACAATACGACGTGTGATCCTACACTTTACCATGTCTTGAGAATTCAACACAGATCTGGCTTAAAAACCCACCAGAAAAAAAAAGAAAGAGTCTACCAAAGTTTTCTTTCACTCACCCGATAAAATGACCCGGGAGGCGACAGACAGTAGCTGACCAATGTAAAATTGGACCATGGTAAATTCTGCGCAGCATCCACGGAGATCTGGTATTCGTTGCAAAATAGAAAAATTTCCAAGCGTCAGCACATATCAATAATTGTAAAAGTGATTACAGCAATCAAACAGGAGGTGAAAAATTCGAATTTATCCCAATCCTTATTGCGCGAGCATAAAACTGTACATTTTAAACTCGATGATATTCATTGATGGACAACTGACCATCATAAATCCAAGTACGTTGATACTCTATGCATACCTTTAATCCGTGCATAACGTGGTATAGAGCAACGTAGCTAAGGTCCAAATCACCAGGCAAAGCATCGATATTTCGAGTGAGGCGAGTCTATACATGAAAAAAACAAAAACAAAATACAACAGGATTACTATAGACTAGTCATTGAATGAATGACAATGAATAACTGAATGAAGAAATGAAACAACGGACGAACAATCAAACAATTGACTGATTGACCTAATCGACTGACTCGCTGACTGGCTGGCAGACTGAATGACACACTGGCGGACTGATTGGCTGAATGCATAACAGACTGACCGACTATCCGACTGACCGATCGACCAAACGACTGACTGACAAACTGACTGTCTGGCTGGCTGATTAACTGACTGAAAGTACGACACATTGCATGATTGCGCGACTATTTGTTGCAATCTTATTGACAGACTAACCAACCAGAAACAGTGGAAAGATAGTTATGAAGACTAAATATAACTAACCAAGATTTAAGGGTTAGAAATGACCAGTTGGGGACCGTTTCTCGAATGTCCAGTCAACTTAACGAGCCCGTAAAGTCGCTTTGCTTTCATTTAAGATGGGGTCCCAAAATGTTTGAAAATTAAATGATAAAAATATCAGCTCAAGAAACAAAATGGAGTGGTTAGATTGTCACAACCTACCTCTCTATTCTTTAAATCTAAATTTTTAAGTATGGCTTCGTGCTGATAAGTTACCAGGACTTTCAAGAAAAAGGCCCAGTGGTCTCCAATAAAATCGGCTCAGACGATTAACTTACCTTGATCCAGCTTTCTATCACTCTGTCTTTCTTTAGTTTATGTTCCTGACCATCTCCTATGAGTTTTATTGCCTCACGAGTCTTGATTGGTTGTCTCTTAACCATACTGTGATATATCTGGCACTCTCCCAGGGTGGGCTCACAAGAGAGGGAGTAATATGCTCCTGGGAAGAAACATAAAGTCTTGAATGATTCGAACGACAGAAAAAAAGAACTTCTTTGAAACAGATAACATAAGGCTGAGTTAAATACAAATTTGCTTTTAAGTTAGTTTAGAGAATTATAAATATTACATCAAGATGATATGATATTAAGACCTTTGTGCTGAATAACGTAGTGAAATTGTGACTCGTAACATGTTGAACGATCCTCTTCGGGAGCCTAAGGGTTAAGAATCCAATCCCATGAAATAAAACCAGTTGAACTTCTGCGCAACCAATAATCTAAGGCAGAGTTAACTGTGTCTTGTTGATAGAGAGATATATATATAGAGAGAGGAAGTGTGAGGACCGTTCATATCGAGAGGTTCTAACCAATAACACCCAGAAAAAAATTTAAAACATGTCACAAGCCGAATCATCGGCTAAAAGGGTGTTATCTCGTTATAAAACCAACTTCTCTTGACTGTTTTTACAAGAAAATGTATGGAGCTTGAAGGGACATTACTTGTCGAATATTGGAGTTCAAAGGTTTTCATGAATTAAACGTATGGATCGGCACAGTAAAAGAACCAAACAGCCAAGCAAATGTGGAGAGGTGGCCACCATAAAGAGCTAGCCTCTACTGGAGGTTTTATTGCAACACAAGAGACTGTGCGATGTTGTCATTAGCCTCATTATAAGTGCAGCAGGACGCGCTTTCCCACCAGCCGAAAGGTTTGAGACGAGTCTGAGAGGTTTGCTAGGGGCCTGGCACCAATAATGTGACCCTCATTATCAGTACCAGACCCCTTACAGACCTTTCGCCGGTTCACGTGGCTCAAGGCTTCGTACTTTGCCGCGGGCGAAGAAAAGTTCGTGCCGAAGTGCTATGCTGCCATCAGGGTAATTTAGCATTATCAACCGAGTTGATAACGTGAATTGGCCACCATAAATTGGCCACCGCTAAGACCTAGCCCATGACCTTCATTGTGACTATTTCAAAATGTTACTAAGCTTTCAATAGTCATTCTTTCACGTTAAGTATCAATGGTGACCCGAGCAAAGCTACTTAATAAGGTGAAGTTAATAAGGTGAAACCACAAAAACAGTTTATGGTGATTTCCGGAAAGGATTGCGCTCTAACATCACAAATCTACGCAACTTACACGGAATTACTGAATAATCGTTCAATAAATAATGTCACGTGAAATAACATGAATACAAGGCTTCAAATTTCCATAATATGACTGAGAAAAACACTCGAGTCCTTTAAAAGAAAGAATGTCATTGTTACAATTATACCTAGCCATAAGGAATTTTATCATCAGCCGCATATCAGACATGCTCACAAATCAGGCAAAAGGTAAGCGAAGTAACACTTTCGAGGAAGGCAAAGAGTGGAAAAATTTGAATCCTCAATCATATTAAACAGTTTGACCTCATGTTATTTAGAAACAGCTCAGTAATGAAGCACATAATGTTGGCAAGAGAACAAGGAATTTCTTCCAGAAGGAAACAAAGATGAGTAAAGATCCCTTCCTAATACAATTTGAAAATTAGGTGGCACAAAAGTTGAGCATCCAGCTGAGAAATTATAGAGGTTAATAAAAATAAAATTAGAGCCTAAAACACATCCCTCAGGTGACAATCGATTCATAACAGAGACACATCCTGCCTACACATTTGTTGTGGTTACCCTCCAAGGTTGAGTGACAACAAAAGCTGATAAACACGCAGTTCGAAGACTTGAACCACGAAATTGCACAGGTTCGTATCAAATTTTTCAATTGCTGAGCTCTCCTCGCTTGCCCATTAAGTAGAAAAGAAGCGCAAGGAAAAAAAACTCCTAGACAAGAAACCTTTAACACGTGATTTCTCTTTTATACGTCACAAATCAAAACTCTTCCCACGCAAAATAAAATTCGATTAGTTGCAGAAATATACAAAGAGCTGGCAAAACAAGTCCATACGCCTTGACAACTTCCGCAAAATTTCCTTAGGAGCGGACGTAAAACAGCCTAACACAAGTCTTGGACAGATTACCATTGGGGTCATTTCAATTCAGCGGTTCCACTATTTACCATGAAAAACGTCGAGCGACAGAGAGTGCGAGGCAATCAGGCAATGAAGTACGAAGATGCCATGAAACAGGCGTTTCACGAAATATATCAGAATCTCAGAGTGATTGAAGAGGGAACAAAAAAGAAACGAGAGAAATTAGACCTTCAACGACGGAGAGGGAGTGCTCCTCCTACAACGCTTAGAAAAACAACAGCTGCTTTTGAGAGAGCAAGGACAGATGCTGTAAGAAAGGTGTCAACGCCACAACCGGTGCGTTGCTCTAAAGTGAAGGAAGACATATGAATTTTAACATAAACTGAGGTTTGAAATCAAGAGTGTTTGAGTGTTAAAAGCGATGAAGATGTGAGCAATGAAAACTTTTTGTCAACGGAGCCACCATTGTTTTAATCTGTAATTTGCCAAGAGAAGTTCAATGTTTCCGCGTCATCGATGAGCGATTACAAAGTGGAAACACCTCAGGAGAAAACACAACCAACTTGCAGCAAGGTTAGACCAACCGGTTTGAATGTTGAAAGAATATTTTGTGAATCACAAATATCATCTGCTGATACTCCTATGAGAGAAACTGCCTTGGTTGCATCGCTGTTTGCTTGCTGTAATTAACAACATAACCATAGGGATCAGTATACGCAGTCGAGTAACGAGAGTTTTCACTCGTGTGAAGTAAGGCATTTTTAATCATGCAAATACAAATGCTACTCACTACGACTGTTCGAAAGAAGGTCACGTTATTCCAGGATTAGAAGTTAACCTAGGTAATGATTTTTTCTTCGGTAAAAGCGTATATTATGGCTAACCTTTTGTGGTGTTTCATGCGAAGAAAACAAAGTATACACTAAACAGATTTCTACGAAGCTATAAAATTCAGTCCACAAAAATCTACCGTTGCTGTGGATAAACTTTACTGACCGTTTTGAACCACTACGTCTATTTAATATGATCTGTGGTCTAATTAACGAGTTTGGAATCTCATAACATTGATTATTCAAAGAATACTGACTGATAGCAGCCGTGGAAAATCTAAGTTATTTACCAGCTATGGATTTCTTTAGACACATGGTGTTGCTCTCTGAGGTGGCAGGGCTTAGGCAAAAAGAGTGAATCATGACATGACCTTATTGTTCGAGAGCAAAAACGCCTAATTTCTTTCAAAAAAGTATCGTGTGTTTTGAACATTGTTTTGAGGTGGCAAATTCTATGCATTAGTAATAAGGAAAAATAGTCTATGCTCGAAATAACTAACTAATCAATTGAGGTGAAAGTAAATAGGAAAAAACTTATCTCTTACTAAGGATATGTTTTTGCACAACATCATGACTTTTACTTTGTCTCAAAAGCATTTTAAGCCACGTTATCATTTACGTTAATAGAATCACTAGACGAATCTACAAAAATTTCAGACGAATGCCATAAGGTCAAAACACAGATCTAAAACAAAGAGAGATTAGACACATAAGATAATAAAATCCTTCTCATGAAACAATAATGTATAAAATAACATTGGGAAAGTTAATTCTAACACGATAAAAACAACCGTGTATATTGTCACGCTTTTGGAGTGAAATATGTTCAATGACAAAACCGCAAAGCGTGTGTCATGTAAGATCTGGGAGCGATGTGAAATCAAGTGTGCAATTATCTATTCCTGAGTGGTCAGTAAGGTCAGAGTTCTTTAAGTTTTTTTAAGGTGCAAAGTTTTCCTCGTGATTTTCAAATGTAATTTTTGTTGAACAGGGTACGTGATGGTATTGAGTCAATTCACTTAACGCTGATTCGCTTCACTTCAGGAAAAGAGTGCAAATTAGGGGGACCTGTTAATTTGCTTTGTTTTAAAAATATTTCGCAAGCCAATCTCATCTTGTGATGATCAATTAGTTTTGCTCAAAATGCAAAAAAAAAAAAGAAAAGAAAAAGCCTGCATTCAAGTTTTAAAACACTGACAAAAAAATGGTAACCTATGAAAGTTGAGGTGAAGTGGTTTAATTGAGTGGTCATTTCATAAGTTTTCGGACAATGCAATAATTTACTTAAGCAGTAAAAAGGTCATTGGATCATGGAGCTGTTGTTTGGTATGACGTTTGCAAAGTTTAAGTTGATTATCTCGAAACATTGTGTTATAAACAGAATAAGGAAGAATGCAAATGTTAATCTCTGTTATGATGGAATAAATAAATATGATATTCATCTTTAGTCGAATAATATCATTATTGATTTCTCTTCTTAACTAAAAAAGACCTACACCAAGGTACGATTTGAACATCAGGTGAAGGAGAGGTCAAGCCAATATCGTTGCTTTCACTTTGCATATTAGCATAACGATAAGATTTTGCTAGGACAGACAAGAGGGAACCAAGCAGCTCGTCAAGACTAATACAGTGAAAACAGTTTCAAAATAAAATATTACAATACCGTGTTATATTTTGTTACATTGTTCGTTCGGGAAGTTCGAAATTGCGTGGGTTCGTTACATAGGGGCTTACGTCAAAGGTTTGTCATATCGTGAGCACGCTTTATCAGGGATTTGTCATATCGGGGGTTCGTAATACTAGGACCCCGTTATATCAGAGACTCGTTACATTGGAGGTTCGTTGCATTAGAGATTCGTCATATTGGGGGTTTGATATAGCGAGGATTAGTTGGATGGGGTGGGGGGGGGAGTCGTTATTTGGGGATTGTTATATAAGAGAGATATTTAAGATACGTTATATAAGATTTAATGGGGTTTATGAGAAATCCTCGGAAACTCACCGTCTGCGTAGTTCGGTTTGGGGTCTAACAGCCCCTCAGACTCCCACTCTGACTCTTTGAACTCTGAAGCCTAAAAAGATAATAAAGTTGATCACTTCTGGGTGGCGGTGGATTGAGGGACCTGCATCATGATTAGTACAGCTTGAAATATCCAGCCTGAATATTTCAAATTTGTCATTTCAATCAGTGTTTTTCTAAGTTATTCATTCTAAGTTATTCTGGTTCTTTATCTGGTTTTATTTTTAACTTACTGGTGTTCTTCTATTTTAGCAAAAGATTATTTTCCCAATTCAAAGTATGTCGTAAAAATCTCACAACACCACATCACGGACTGCGGAATACAAAGTTAAGACAAACCATCAAGCCTTATTGTTATCGTCATTTGTGTCATCGTCATCCGGATCATCGTCATCCGGATCATCGTCATCCGGGTCATCGTCATCCGGATCATCGTCATCGTCGTCGTCGTATTTACCATAATTATAATTATTAATCAATTATTCACAGAAGTGAAGGTAAATATCCACCACATTTGACCGACATGGAGGTTGTTTAAGCATATACCATACAGAAACTGAAAAAATTTAGTTTCCGTCTCTCAATATACCGAAAAACGGTCGGAAATCGAACTCTTATCTTACAATTGGTCTCTTCTACTGTTCGGAGGTGAATTACACTTGCTCATCACTTCCGGACTAGCCAATCAGCGCGCCCAAAAAGTACTATTCACCGGTGCGGTATATGGTAATTACATTTATTGGCATCATGTTGAGAGTGTTTACCTACCTCTTTTGGTCTTCCATTAGGATGGCAAGCCGCTTGAACCAGTCTTACCAACAAACTAGCACATGGTACAGGACTGTTGAGTCAAATTATTTGCAGTCAGGATCGTAAACTAAGCATAACAAAAGCTAGCCATACGGCAAGGCGTTTTCAGGATGTAAGTTAAGGGAGTAATTGATTGTTTGATTGATCAAATGATTAACTAACTAACTTGCTCGCTGTGTGATGGCCTGACTGGCTGAATAACTTACTTCCTAACTATCTGTATGACTCTCTTTCCCCCTTTTGCTCGGACGAAGAAGGGCAAACACTCAAAATTCTCTTTGGTGGCATTTTCACATTAACCAAATTATCATGTAATACCCAACCCGACGCACCACAATGTTTCCTTAGACCGACCGACTGACCGATTGACTGACCAACCGCTCAACTAGCTGGTTGATTGACTTTTTTTTATTAAGTGTTTACACAGATACTTACGACAGACTCTGCGTCACGCTCTCGTGTAAAGGTTGAGAGAGGTCTGGAGAACCACCATACAAACGTATTTGGTGAGGACCTTCATTAAAAGCAACCTAAAATAAAATACAGGAAGATTTTCTTCAATATGTGCCGCGGCTCACATACATGTAAGACACGAACTCATCGTATGAACGGTACATTTCCACTTTTACATTCCGCGGCTTTGGCAAAAAGAGGGTTTTGAGCACGTCTCAAATAAGCCGCGACTCAAATAACACGCGAAACCACTCGTATAAATGATAGCGCAGCTTGTTCGCGGCTTACGTACGAAGCGAGCGCCATTTATTCTCGCGCTCGCAACCGCTTGCAAAACTCAACGTGTCACGAGACGCGAACCATTTATACAAGCACCTTGCAGCTTGTAGAAGCCTCGCTGATTTCATCAGCTCAGTTCGCATCTTGTGTAAGCTGCGGATTATTTTCATCTCATAAACGACCGTATTGTGAAAGAAAGGTAAGCTACGAGTCCAAACCAACCTATAATAAGTTACCAAAACATAATATAACACACCTTAACATTCGAGCTGCTGACAGACGGTTGTTTTGTTGTTCCAACTTCAACAAAGATCGGTAGGAATCCGTATCCCACACAGCAAAGAGTCTTTGAAATCCTATCCACTGTGTACACTTTCAACATTAGAGTACAAGACTGCGGGAAGACTGGGTCTCGATATTCTGTCCTGCAGTTGTATTCTGGGTTGTAGATATCACTGTCCAGTGTAGCTTGTACGTCAATGTCTACACCAATTCTAAAAAAAATCAACAGAAAGGAAAAGAGACTACTTGTGTAGGATCAATGTCAGCATCTGAGCAATTGCGCACTAACCCCTCCCCTAACCCTACAACAGTCAACTGATAACAAGTAAGGATCAATTTTGGTTAAAGGGAGGGGAAGGTGTGCAGTTGCTCAATACTGAGTTTGATCCCTTGTGTTATATTTCGTGATGCTCGGGCTGTTCATAAAATGTAGGGACTCAAGAGTACTCCTCTCAGTGGGACGCTAGTCAATCAAAGGTCAACTCCCCCCCTTCGCCCAGCAATTTGTCAAGCTTCCCTGACATTACACCAATAACTGATACTCTTGGGTGAAGAGGGCATTGTGAGAGTAATGTGCCTTCGCCAAACAACGTCTGCAGTAAAAAAAATAGTACGGGGGAGGGGGGGGGGTTGTTCCTCTTTCCTTGGCTTGACCCGACCTGGAATATTGTCGCTCTTGGTCCACAACAGAGAGTCGCCAGAACTTTTGTTTTCAGTTCACCTTACTATTTCGTCTCCTTTTTTGTGTACAAATGGGCGGTCGAGGCAAGTGTCTCATACAAAAACACAACATCCTAGCCTTGGTTTGAACGCAGGATCTGGGTTCTTGCACAAGGTGAGTAAATTGCCTATCTGAAATCCCATTAATTCGTTACCACAAGTTTTACCTTGTGTAGTTCTTGTCCAATACTCTTCCAGCCACCTGAAAACGGAAGTCAGTAGCAATGATATGAGTTAAGAGCAATCGTTTAACAGGTATTGCCTCCCATGAGTGACAAAGAGAGAATTTCTCCTTACAAAATCAATACAATATCAAAAATAGAAGTGGCGAGAATAAAGTAAAATATCAATTAGGGGATTATTAGTTGATCCAATACCAAATTCTTCAAATTGACATAATAAGAATTGTAGGTCAGATATTAAAGAGAATTACTAATGAGATCTAGGGAGTTAAAGGGTTAACAGGTGTTGCCTCCGCTCTCTTCTAGAGGTGACCAGTTCTCCTTATAAGACCAACATAATTTTCAGAAGAAATATTTGTATCAGCTTTGTTTTATTCCTTGATTTAACACCCAATTCTCAGAGCTTAAGTCACAAGAGATGTATAGCAGACAGTAAGGATCATTTTTTCAATCATTTACTATCAGCTACTTCAGACAATGTTTTGTTTCCCTTAGGAGTTTAAGTTAGCAGGGTTCTACTGTACTTTAAACACACCTTAGTGACGCTGACACTGTCTGGAAGAAATCGTGCGGCGTCAATATAAAGATCAAAGCCATTCCCTTCTTCAAATTCGTCAGTAAGTATAGAGGAGCGACCATTCTTTATCCATACATCCTAGAATGACGAAAAAAGGTAAGACTCAGGTGACGATCAATCACATTCACTGTAAACGTAGACCAACAAACATTACGGTCATGACAATTATGGAATAATTGCGAATTCATGAAGCTCTTGATTGTTAGACAAATTCTCCTTGTAAGTGACATAAGAAATGTATAGAGAGTAGTATAGAAAATATGCACACTGATGTTAGCATGAATGAATCCATACATTCAAATGGACTTCTACAAGGCCGTACATAAAATCGAATTTGTATTTTTCAGTAAAAAGAGTGCCTGCTTACCTTGGGAAGGTCATTTTCATCTTGAAATTCTTCAGGAGGACTGGATGTCGCAGGTGGAAGATTGCCTGAACCAAAAATAGATACCC